GCACCCTGACCTCCAGCCACGCCCCTCGGCCGGGTCCCAGAGACCCCCGGAGGCCAGCAGGGGCCGAGCCTGGAGAGGTCACAGCCCTGGTACAGGGAGGCGGGGGCCGGAAGGGAAGGGGCGGGTTGCAGCGAAGGGAAGGCGTCCACAGTACAAGCTAAGCGAGGGCAGGGAGGCCAGAGCGGCCAGGAGAGGGAGAGGCGGCGGCCTCACACCACCCCGCAGATGAGGGTCTCCACCACGAAGGTGTTCTCGAAGTGGCGGATGGCGCTGCACTTCTGGGCTCCGCGCTTATTGATCCCTGGGAGGAAACAGAAAAAAATTCCCAGTGAGACCTGCGCTGTCTTCATCGCCACGGCCTAATACCAGGGACCTAGGACCTGGCTAGGGGAGAGGGGAGCCTGAGAAGAGACACTGATTCACCGCGTAAACCCAGAACTGGAGTCAGACTGCCTGTATCTGCCTCCCCCTTGCTGTGTGACTTAGGGCTGTTCCTTAACCTCTCTGTGCCTCAGTTTGCTCATCCTTAGAGGGACAGCTAGAATGAAGATGATGATGATGGTGACTGTATAGCAGCGCCTGGCACACGGGAAGGGCTTGCTTAACATGGGCTGTTATTGCTGCTGTGTGAGTTCAGACGGCCGGCGGGGACTGCTAGATGGCAGGGGTGTGGGGCCCAGGGTGGGGCGGTCACTCACGCCTCCGGGTGGCCCGGCGCCGCAGCCGGTAGGTGTCCTTGCCGCTGCACAGGTGGTGGATGAAGGAGCCCAGGGCCTGCTTGTCGCTGACGTGCTCCGTCACCACCATCTCCTCCTGCATGATGTACGTCTGTGGGAGGTACGTACCCCTCTGCGCAGGGGCGGCACCGTGCAGGTCAGCACCAGGGCCCCTCTGAGGTGCTCAGGTGTCCCATCCCGGGCCTGAGGGAGGAGGGGGCCTCGCTCACCTTCACGTTCGCGAGCAGCTCCCAGAAGTTGCGTGGGGGCAGCACGATGGTGGTGTTGAGCTCGATGACGTAGCACTTGTCTAGGGAGATGTCGTGGTAGGCGGTGAGGCCCTGCAAGGGACAGACCGTGGGGTCAGTGAGCCGCAAGAGCCCCGGACACCACTGCACCGTGCCTGGGCCCCCAATTTTCCGCACACCTGCCCCACTCAGCCCATCTGCAGGAGGGGGCCTCTTCATAGCGCTGAACCCCACCTGTCTCACGCCTTGGTCACTACACAAATTGGCAGCACTGGGTGCAGTTTGGGAACATGGTTTTTTCCCCAACTGTTTCATCAAACCTGTTCGGTCCGACTCATCCAGGGGCAGCCTGGGCATCGGCGAGATGCCCTGTCCCAAGCCCCCACGGGCCAACCTGTGGGGCACCCAGGATGTGGGGAGCAGGATTAGCACCCCAGCCCTTACTAGGCTTTGTGAAGCTGTTCAAGGAAGACGGCTGGGGCCTGTGCTTTGCTGACCTCAAAAACAGTCCCAGACGATGATGGTCACCTTGAGGGGAAAGGAACTGACCGGAAGGGCAGGCAGAAGGGAACCTTGGAGGGTGCTGGCAATGCACCAGACCTTGGCCTGCACAGCACTGCACAAACCTACAGAGCTCCATACAGCGGTGCCCACCTCGGTCACACGTCAGGAGGCCCAGGGGCCTCACCACCAGGAACTCCCATCAGGTCCGTGGATGAGAACAGTGTAATCACAGCTATACAGCTCAGAAACACACGCCCCCTGGTTCCTGGCCAGTCGCTGGTGACCCGGGGGGAGGTCTCACCCTCTGGAAGTCGTGGATGATATCTGCGGGGTCCCCACCACCAAACTGGGGCACAGGGACGTTGATGCGCTCATAGTTCTCTTCCAGGTAGATTTTCACGTCCTCCTCCAGCTCCATGCGAGTCCGGACCTGTGACAGGGAGTCCTCATAGAGAACGCCACAGTGGAAGAAGTTGTCTCGGGCCAGCTGAGCAAGGCAAGAGGGAGAGGGACAGGCGGTGACACAGGGCACTCAGCCACGGCTGCCCACCTGTCCACTTCGTGCCTGAGGGGCTCATGCAAAAAGTTGAGCTGAAGCTTGAGGAAGCGATTCCTGATTGCACAAGGGGAGAGGAGGGTGTCCCAGGGCTAGACTGCTTGGAACTTCAGCTGCCCCATCTGAAGCATGGTGACGTCTAGGGTCCTTTCTGGCCTCAAAAGTCCCCAAGTCTGTGAAGTGGGCCAGCTGGAAAGAGGACTGACCACCCTTTTGCCCTTCATGGAGGAGCCTGGGACAAACCTGAGCCAGACAGGCTAGCCAGGAAGGGTGCCCTGGGAGGTGGGTGGGTGGGTTACAGGTGGGGGCAAGGAGCTAGGAGGCTCCACAGGTAGATTCTAGCATCACCACCACAACTCACCTATAAAGGGCACCGTGCCGCTCCTGATCTGGTGCCACTCCGCAGGGGGAAGGCGCCTCCCCACTGGATACACTCAGGGTTATTTATCCTCCTGAGCTATTTAACCACCTCTAGTTCTGGACGTGGTGACACTCTTCCCTCCCCAGGTCTCGGTGGCCCAGGGTGTGACCATGCATGAGGCAGCCACTCCTGCAGCCCACCCTGCCGCCCTGCAGTCCTCCTGCCTCCCTGGGTCTGTGGCCATGTGCAGAATGGAGTCCGGTCCTTCTCACAGGACTTGGGCGCAGGACCCCCCGGCTCTGGAGGGGACCACGGCGCCAACTTGGGTGGGACCTGAGGGATAGCGTAGAGGGAGCCCCAGGCCTGCCGCTGGGCCAGTTACCTGAGCCAGGAAGAAGTATCTGTAGATGTAGACAGAGGCGAAGACGAGGCCCATGAGCAGCACGACCATGCCCATCGACAGGTAGCACACGCCGCCCACAGAGCCCCCCTTCTTGGAGCGGTGGGAGGGGGGCCGCTCCTCCTGTGGACAGCAGGGCCGGGTCAGCCGGGTGTCCCCATACACAGAGACCCCCTTTCCTAAGGGTGGCTGCTCTCTGAGGTGCTGCCCTCCATGCCCAGCGCCCTCTCCATGGTGCCCAGCAGTGCCGGGCAGATGGCCAGGGAGTCTACAAAGGAGGCCAGGAACTCGGTAAGCCACACCTGGCTCCTGGCCTCGCGTGTCAGGCAGGGGAGGAAGGTGAGTGTGAAACTGAATGCTCTGCCCGGAGCACTGGACTGAGGGGCAGCTGGGTGGCCTTGGTCAGTTTTCTGTCCATCTTCTCCACCCCACCCCAAGCTTGCTCAGCTCTCTCCCCAGCAATGCTGCCCATCCCTGCCCACAGTGCCTGCCACACCACCCGTCCCTGGCATCCAGCCCAAGGAACCTGGAGCGTCTCCAGCTCTGCCACTCGGCACTTGCTGGGTCTCAGTTTCCCCAAATGCAAAAACTCAATGAGCAGGTCAGACTGAGCTCCTGGCCCCTCCTGCAGCTCTGGAGAAGCACTGGGAGGGAGGGTGTCTCAGGGATGCAGGATAAGCCCTCATCTCTCAGCAAGGCACGGGGGTCCTGGGCTGATGGGGCACATGTGGGGTGTGAGCCCTGCCAGCGTCTTATGTCTCCCTTCGTGGTGCCCCACTCAAGAGCTTCCCTGAGCGGCACATGCACCAGCAGGTTGGCCGCCTGGCCCCCGTGGTGGGCGACAGGGACAGCACAGCCAGGCACCACCAGCGTTTCGCAGGAGCAAGATGCCAGGTGCTCTGGCAAGCACAGAGTTGGGCCGGTGCAGCACTTCTGCTCTTCCAGGGGTCAGGAGCAGATTAACGTAGCCGAGTTGGAACAGCCAGGTGCCCACAGGGGCCACGAGGCACAGTAACCTCCAAAGCCCAGCACGGATTTGGGGCCCAGAGTTGAAGAGTCTGGGGCACCCAGCAGGGCAGTGCAGCTCCGTCCTCTCAGTTCCCCACCTCCTGCCACGGCACGGGTTTTGTTGGGATTGAGAGACAAAGAACCTGAAAGCCCTTGGAGGAGGATAAAGTGCCAGATAAAAACAGCTCCAACACCAGCCTTGCCTTTTTACTTTTTAGGGTGGCCCCAGACAGGTGTTGGGCTGCCCAGTGCTACTGCTGCTGCTGCATTTTGGAAAACTGGAGAAGCTAGCTTGAGAAAACTGCTTAGCAAAACACAAAACAAAAACAGAAACTCGGAAAGGATAAAACTCAATGGGCTACAAGCACACGCCGAGGGCCGGCTCCGCAGCCAATGCCCAATGCCCGGACGGACAAGGGGCAGGGAGCTGGGGAAGACGAGGTTGGAGAGGACGGGCAGGGAGCTGGGAGGAGATGCGCTGCGGTGGTCCCGGCCAGGTGTGGCTGAGAAGAGAAGAGGCTCCGGTCTCTCCGGACTGTGAAGGCTGGCACCCGACCTCACCCCTCTCTATCCACGCAGCCACAGCTCAGGTCGATGAGGGACATCAACACATCCCTCTCCGATCTATTTCTCTGGCACATTTCCAGGAGGTTATCCGGAGAACGTGCAGACTTCCGCAGATGCAGGTAAAGCCAGAAAAGCTGCCCTTCTTAAAAAAGAAATCTAAACGTGTGTGCATTAGGAAGGTAAGCAAGGAGCAGACAGACCTCACCCCCATCCCACTCTTGCCTACAACCTTCCAGGAGGAAACTAAGGCCGACACGACCATGTTCCCTGCTCCCCTGCCAACCCTCCAGTGTCTGGGCCAATCCCGGCAGCCCCTGTCTTTCTTGTTTATAGTCCAGGCTGGCCTCGAATTCTTGGTGATATTCCTGCCTCAGCCTCCTGAGTGTTGGAATGACAGGCATGCACCACCATGCTCGAACCCTTATTTCTTTCCAGAGTGCATCATACTAAGCTTTAGCTTTGTGGCCCTTTGAGTGCTAAACTCTATGTGGCTCCCCTGCCTGTGCACGCAGTGAACTTTGGCTTGTTCGTCTTGCTAAGCTGTTCACCGTCAGTTCCTCTCAGAGACTAAAATGACCAGAACTTTCAGGTGGAAAAAGGACACGTGACATCTGATGAAGGGCTCTCTTGCTTCCTGCTGCTGACACCTGCCAGCACCCACTGGGCTGGGACCTCCTGTGGCCGCAGAGCCACACTCAGAAGCCCCAGGACGGCATGGCTGGGCTGGCAGTGAAGGGAGGACCAGCCAGGACGAAAGGCGCAGGGCTGCCTGTGTCTCCTGGACCCAACACTGCAACAACCAAGGTCAAGGCCCGGGGACACTCGTCCTTCGTGGGCCCTGGCTGGCAGGTGACCTGCCACAGCTGTGACCTGGAGGAAGTGGAGCCTGACTGAAGCAGCAGGGAGATGCCAGGTGGCCCCAGGAAATGCTGCTCCCCAAGGTGGCGAGCAGTTACCAACAGTCAGGCTTCCGGTTAGAAAGGAAATCTGCATACTGTTTCCAAGGCAACAGGCTCTAGCAGCAAAGTGCCTCATCGCACACTCGTGTTAGGTGAGAGAGCCAGACATTTGGGGGACCCACAGGGGCTTCCCTGGGGTCTACAATGGGGCTTATGAAATGATTTAGCAAATCCAGGGGCGAACTGGAGGGGAAGCCACCAACTGGAGGGTCAGCTCGGCAGACCCAGTGGCTCCAGGGAGAGCAGCTCGGCTGCTGTCCCTCCAGAACAACATCCAGATTGGCCACAAGCAGACTAGACTACAGTGGCAGGCTGCTCAGGGAGGCCAGAAAGGGAAGCCAGAAACCGAGCGAGCCTGGAGGCTGGGGCTCAGGGGTCTCACCTCCCCACACCCCAGGCCGGCTGGTTCTTTCCTAGGCTGCAGGCCCCAGCTGGGAGGGGAGGTGCCTGCCAATCAGTGTGTGTGAGAGGCCTGGCTGGGGTTAGCAGGTGAGTGAATACCAGGCCCCCTGCATGCACAGCCCAGAGCACAGTGGCCCAGAAGCACGGCTGTCACTTGGGTGCGTGTGGGGATTCACCATTAGTGGGTACCACGCCCTTGCAAATCCCGCTCTGCACCTTTGAGTTCTCTTCTCCATCCCTGACCCACAGGGTGTTTCCAGACAGCCAAGCTCAGGGCTGAAGAGCGGTCTCTTGGCGGGGTGGGGCTGAAAGGCTGGAGCCTGGGGGCTGCTGTTGCCACTGTGTTTTATCCTGAGTACAGGGAAAAACCCATCCTCTCAGCTGTCTGCTGGCAGTCTCAAATCTTGCAGGGATGGCGAGAGAAGAACAGAAATAAGGAATCAGAAAAGCGAAAACACCCTGGTCAGGCTGGAGAGTCCCTGCCCCACCCTGGGGAGACAGGCACAGGGGCCCAGAGCTGGCAAAAAGAGCTGGCCAGACCCGCCCTCCAACTGCCAGAGGACCCGCCCCTACTGCGCCTCCTGCCAAGGGCTGGAGGCCAGGATGCTGGGAAAGTGAAATCGGAGCTGCAGGTATGCAGGCTGGGGGAGGGGGCCACACAGGGGCTATTGATCAAAGGCAAATGTCAAGGAGAAATCAGGGCAGGGAAGACGGCTGGAGTTGGCATGTTTTTCTCTGTGTGCAGCCCTCAGCCTGTGAGTGTACACGCCCACACCCGCCTGTGCACACAAGTGTACACACACACAGGCAGAATGTGGGGAGAGGGGACTGGGCCGCCCAGGGAAGGAGTAGGGGTACGACCTCTGCTTTATCTCAAGTGTCCCAGCACCACATGGGGAGGTTGGGCCCCCACCCGCCCCTTCCTTCGCCCTCCCAGCCTCAGGTCCGGGGACAGGATTGCCCTTGTTCCAGTGTTTGCTCAGAAGCCACATCCCGCATTCCCCCCTCCAGTCCGGTCAGTCGCTTCTGCCCACCGGCCCTGCTCCCTCCTCTGCTCCTCACTTTTGAGGCCAGTTCAGACATCAAGAAGTGTTCTGGGGTCACCATTAGCCAGAGGAGACCGAGAAGCCATCCTGTGCCTTACCACAAGTATGGGACAAAATCGCAATGCCCTGCCCTGCCCACTCCTCACTGTGCCCCGGGCCCCGGCCCACCTCTCTGCTCCCAGCAATGGCTGACTGTCCTGAGCTGCAGCTGCCAAATGGGCTTCCTGCCTGCTCGCCACTGGGCAGGAGGGGAGGCCAGGCACCAGGTCTGGCACAAGGCGAGGAGGAATTCGCCTGCTGGCCAGGTGGGCCAGGAAGAGCCCCACAGGCACAAACCACCACCCAAGGGTCTGGGTCCAGGGGCAATGGCAAAGCCAACGTGTGGCACCTACATGCTCCTGTCCACCAGCTCGGGGCTTGGGCAAGCCGCAGTCCTTTCTGTACTAACAGTGCCGGACTTTGATTCTTCCTTCTGATAGCAGGGCCTCAGGCTCCCCATGCTTATTAGAAGGGGGGCGCTCAGCTGGGGCTGGGTCCCACGACAGTGTTGATATTTCCATTTCATGCTGGGTCAGGGCAAGAGAGGCTGTGCAGCTTCAGAGCCCAATAAAAGCCCGAGGGTGGATGTCAGTTACTGCCCAGGCTGCACAGCAGGGGAGATCAAAACAGACCACCCCTAAACAGGCTGCTGTGGCACATTTCCCAATGGCCATGCAGAGGGGCTGCAGGCGAGGCCTAGCTATGAAAAGTTGTCCTTTTGTGGGGAGATTTGCATGTGCAGAGAATTTCACCCCTAAGTGCACAGCCAGTGAATGGATGAAAGCAGGCTTTCTCTAGGCCCTCCACGCATGCAAGCGGGCGCGCACACACACACACACACCCTGGCTGTCTAGGAAAGATCTTCCTGCCCGTCGGAGATGACCACGTACTGCCCTGGGGAAAAAACGGGCATGAATGCAGCCCAGCGCTGGGGGCGTCCCTCACCCAGGGTCTCCCCCACCTCTGAGGGGGCCCTCTCCAGCTTCCCCTGGATACCTCAGGGCAGGACTGAAGGAGAGCCACTGAACCTGACCTGGGAAGGAGTCCCGCCTCCAGCGGGTGGTAGTGGGGGTTGTGCCCAGACCATGGCCCCAGTCTTGTCCCTCTGGGCCCCTTCGTGGACGCTCTATGCAGCGCGGCCAGTTTTCCACGGCGGAAATGCCTCCTCTCCCCTAGGCCAGAGCACAGGCGAGGCGCCCCGAGGCCCACACCCCCAAAATCGGCCGCGGGCGCCTGGGGGTGCCATCCCGAGGGCAGCAGGGCTGTGGGGGAGCCCTCCCGAGGAGGAGGGGGAGCCCAGCGGGCGGGCAGAGAGAGGAGGCCGCAGAGTGGGTGGGGAGGGATAAGAGCGCCTGGCTTCGGACCGGGATCCCCAGAGGCGCGGCCAGTCCGGTCCTGGTTTATTTCCATTTCATCACTTTCTGGTCTGCCAAGTCAACGAGGAAGAGCAGCACATCCTCCCCCGTTTTGGAACGAAATCTCCAGGACCTCTCTCCCTCCCCCCCCCCCTTCGCCAGCCAATCGGATCCCACCGCCCTACTTAGGGAAAACTACGTCCAAGCCGCCTCCCATCCCCCACCTGGGGACTGGACTCGGGCCCCTCCCCACTGATTGGAACCAGACGCGAATCCCGACCAGCATTCCTCGCCCCGAGCGCGCCAGCCCCCGTCCGGGCTGTGCAGCCAGGCGCCCCGGGGCCCCTCCGCCTTCAGAGGAGGTCTGCGCGCTTTCCCGCGAACCGACAAGGGGCCGAAGACTTTGGGGCAGAACCCAAACCCGGTCCCTCTGGGGATGGGTCACCCATCAGTGAACTCTCCCGCTCCGCTCGCGGCTCCGGGCTCCCCCGCCCCGGGTCCCTCGCCGCCCACCTCTCTCACCCCGGCTGGCGTCA